GGCAAACGCCAATCTTGGTGTATTTCGGGTGTAGCACTTCACTTGCCCTAAGGCAAGACTCGAAGAAATAAATACCAATTAGATTGTTTATATCTATGAATTTGAATGAGATTTGGAAAAAAAGACTATTGAATGAATTTGACTACCATATACAGAGAAGCCAAACAAACAAACAAAAACCCTTTATTCTTATATAAGGGAGTCCAACTGGCTATATCCGTGGACATTTGCTTATTTCCATGGCAGATGTATAGGATAGAGGTTAAATTTCCCACCATACCTTTATAGCGAGATTTAGGTTTATTCTACTTCTACAATTTTCTAGATGTCTAATCTTGAGAAAAAACAAAAGACGTATCTGTGTCATTTACAAATAGAAATAATTGTGCTTAAACTCACTGGGCTGCTGTGAGAATGAAGTTAGCATATGAAAAATACTACCCTGCACAGAGTAATCAATTATTATTGTATCTTCTTTATGTGCCTATAGATCAAAGACAGTAATTATAATAGTTTCACACAGTCCTCTGTTGTTTATTCACCAGCTTTTGGTAGGCGCATTAAGATTGACTTTGTGATGATAAAATGAGGAATTCAAGAGAAACAAAAAAAAGAAAAGAAAAGAAAGTTTTCATTGGGTGTGGGATATGCCTAGGTTCTGCCCAATGTGTCTCCAGGTGAAGGCTTGTGTCCCTTTCCAGCACCACTGAACACGAGGCAGTCTACTACTAACTTCACTTATGTAACTCTAGAAGGTAGAGGTTAAGCAAGAATCCAGGCAAATGTGCTGGTGTGAATCGCTAATTTGGATGATCTGAGTTATGTCTACATGGTTTCAGGCCCACAGACCTATGGCATCACCAAGGTGCTTTACAATAATGAATTTTTTTATTTTATGGGCAAATAATTCTCAGCTAATTATCTCTTTTAATGTGATATAGGGTAATGAAGTAGGAATGGCAAATACTACCACCACCACCAGCAGCAGAACTATTTCACAAATAATAAAACAGAGTCGACATTCTACCCCTGAAATTGTATTCTACCTTTTAAATTTCCAAGTTCTTAAAGTATTACCCTATTCATTTCTTAACTAATTTGATAAATATGTATTGTTTATGTATTGTGGCCAAAGCGATGAACTTAACTAGAATAGAACAAGTGAGACCTCTGGTACCAAGGAGAAAAAATCCATGAAGATACATAGCTACCCCATAGATCTAGTAACAGAGTCACAGTCATAATAGTAGCTGCGAGTGGGAAGGACCTTTTGGACGAAGTCCTCACAGAGGCACCATTGTTTATTATGTTTATCCATGTGCAAAAGATCAGATGTAAAACAACCGAGTGGTGTCTTGAAGAACTCTGATGTGACTGGAGGAATAAATAAGAGGGATGGTAAAGAGGAGTAAAGGGGAGGGTGATGGTGAAAGGGAACATTCAAAGGCTAATAAAAGATATATTGTACAATAGCCTCGATATCATCTAGTCCTGAGAAGACCAACCCATAAAGAGCTGTTCTTTTTTTCTGAGGGAAAATTCAATGGGAGAAATCTTCAAGGGGCTCCCTATTAATTATTACTTGGAACCTAAGTTGCTGAATGAGAAGTGTATGTTTAAAGGGACCATCACCGTGTGACTCTTAGCATTGCAAGTGTATGTTTAAAGGGATCATCACTGTGTGACTCTTAACATCGCAGGCTAAGCTAAGAGTACTGTACCACCCTGATGGTAGAATCCTCCCCTGATTCAGACATTTCGTAGAGCTAGTGAAGGAGGAAGGGATCCCAGACTGATGATGGAGAAAAGACGTACCTAAAAGTTAAAGCAAACAAGAAATAAAAAGAGGACAAACACAAGAAGAACTCAGTGGGCACAGGGCCCTGATCCACTCAGAGCTACAGAAGGGATCTGACTGCTACAATTCAGAAGTCGTCTATCGAGGAAGCCTTCTTCAAAAAGGGAGGGCAGACTTGGTGCAGGAAAAGAATCAAAGAACAGACCATTTCTGGCGGAGAACAGGGGTTGGAGTTGCCTTGGTTGGAGAAGAGAAGTCTTGGCACTAGCAGGCCAGATGGAATAGCACACAGGATTCAGTTTTCAGCAACTGAGCTGGAAACCCATGAAGATTGTCACATAATATTACTGAAGTATGGGTAGTACGTGTCCAGAGGTAGGAGTATGGGTACCTCTGGACACAAGGGGACCAACTTGCAGGCTTGTCTTTGAATCAGCAGACAACCTAAGCCATGGTAGAATATTGGCTTCAACAAACTTGTGAACAGTCAGTAAATTTCTAAGGATGCTTCCCACCTTTCACTCCATTTTCCAACAACTTTTCTCCCACATCCCTCAGGACTGACCCTGGTAGGTTGGAATTTCAACCAATTTTATGCAGTGCAGTAACTGAAAAAGAACCCTAGTTTTCCTTTCATTCAATTATCTATATTTTCTAAGTATAATGTGAATCTGAATGACTTAAATTTAAGCCTATACAAATCAAGACTGAAACTCATTCCAGTAATATTTATTGAGTGCCTATTATAGTTTGCTATTGCTCTGTTATACTGATAATAGAGGGATGAGGACAAGTCCCTCTTCAGATGTTCTGTCATTGTTCAGTCTGTCTTAGCATCTCAATTCCCTTACCGTGTCTCTTGAGAGTTTCCAGCCATCATTTTCAAGTTTTTCCCATCCTTTGTTATTACCTACTCCTGGGGAATGTTGGCCTTCCTTCCTACCCTGTCCCTAACCTTGCCATGCATACCTTCTCTTTAAACTCTCACTCAGAAAAGTATCTGAAGCATTAAGGCACTGTTTCCAAACTGGACTTATTGGACACTTGAGGTTACAGAAACAAAAATCTTCCAAGGTCCAAGCAGGAATAATTCCAAAGGACTGATTCTCTCATCTTCAGCTCCCGTAAGAGCTCTTAAAATTGATCTGCTAGAGAAAGTGTCTTTTCCATTTCCACTTCTCTTTTCATTTTTTTAACAAAGAAAGGTATAGCAAAATCTTGTCACATGGAAATGCCTAAGAGTGTAAGTTAGTGCCAATGCCAATGTCAGTGTCGAGAAAGTAAAGGACTAAGAACTGGGTATCAAATCCGTTCCCAGGTCAGTGGTTTACAATCTGTTCCTTTCAACACAATTGAAATAGAAGCTAATCAAGCTGTCAGCTAATAGATCAACGAAAATAATTTTGATGATATGTTACCGAATATTTTCCGGCATACAGTTAATGAAAAGTTTAAATAATCTAGTGTTCTTCTATAACAAACTTTCAGTCACGGAGCTATGGTACATCAATATCACTTATATGTGAACTAGTTTTTGTAGTGTTTACTCTCTAAAATGAAAATTCAGAATAGAATCAATGCTAAAATCTTTCTCATTGTGGTAATAAGTCTTACAATGCACACAAACATTGGGCAAAAGCATAATATACATTATTATGAGATAGTTTTCCAATAAATTTAAATATCTTTTTAGATGCTTTATATATTTATATTGCTTTATGTAAATGTATGCTAGTTATATAACAGCTAGAGGAAATATTTTATGAAGCACTCATAGTCTTAAAAGTACAGTGTAAGAAAACATGTAGGTAGATACAGAGAAATCCATAAAAGACTTGCAATTATAAATATATTATAATACCATGAATTATAAGTTTGGTGAAATACATGATGTAAAATTTCCAGTTTTAAAAAGATATGTTCATTTATATGCTTGTTTAAGAAGTATAGTGGGTATCATTACCATAGCACTGATATTTAGATTTTGTTGAATACATAAAGAAGTAATCTAATAGTTTCAATTCTCACAATGCGGTAAAAAGTTAGACTCTCTGTGGCCACATAAATGTCTGATAAAAAATAGATGTTGTACCTGCAGTCCTAGCTACACAGGAGGCTGAAGTGAAAGGATTTCTTGAGCTCAGGAGTTTGAGTCCAGCTTGGACAACATTGCAAGAATGCATCTTAAAAAAAAAACCTGATGTCAAGTTAAAACTATGCAACTAGTATATCATTTTGAAAGTTTCATAGAGGAAAATAACGTTTAAAGACAGGTACTCAAATCACACCCAAAATGAAAATGCTTAATGACATGTGACCCAATCTCAAGTCAGACTTGTAATTTTATCAGTTTTCCTGGAGATGTCAGGTCACTAGCAGTGTTGATAGGAGACTGGAAAAGCATAGAAGAATGGTTGGAAAAATGGCTTCCTCTTTCATTTTCCTGCCTCACCAGCTGCATCAGTTTCCCATTGCTGCTGTAACAAACTACAAATATGGTGGCTTATAACAGAGATTTATTGTCTCACAGTTCTGGAGACCAGAAATCCAAAATCAGTATCACTTGGCTCAATTCAAGAAACAGGCAGAGCTGCACTCCCCCTGGAGGCTCTTGAGAAATTCTTTCTTAGCACTTTTAGCTTCTGATGGCGGCCGGTGTTTTTGGTCTTGTGGCCAAATCGTTTCAGCCTTTAAGGCCAGCATCCTTCAATCTTTCTCTGCTTCATCTTTACATTGCCTCTCCTCTGTACATCTGTTTCAAATTTCACTCTACCTCTGTCTTATAAAGATCTTTTTGATTGTATTTACGTCCCACCTAAAAACTCTCAAGCCCTCCAACTCAGAGTCCTTAATTTAATCACATTTGCAAAATCTTTGCCATATGATGTAACATTTACAGATTCCAGGAGTTAAGACACGCACAACTTTTAGGAGGTCCATTTTTTAACCTAGTATATCTCCTGGAAACAAGACTGTCTAATTATACCACTAAAAATGTATTCAAACATATATGTAAAATGAGTGGAAAAATAACTATTCTCTGGAGCAGAGTTTCATTATCTTTTTTGAACTGAATTTTCTCTCTAAGATGCTAACCCCTAAGCATCTTCAGTGGTTATAACCTTGAGGCTAGGTTGGTGGTTTGTTGCACCTGTCTTTCAAACCTCTTCTTCTTCCTGTGATTTGTTTTAGGCGCTCAAGTGGACGAAAGCATGAGAAATTTGAGTGGAGGCCATGTTGAGGACTTTGTCTTGGTGGGTTTCCCTACCACTCCACCCCTCCAGCTGCTCCTCTTTGTCCTTTTTTTTGTAATGTACCTTCTGACGTTGTTGGAGAATGCACTCATTGTCGTCACAATATGGCTCACTCCAAGCCTTCATCGCCCCATGTACTTTTTCCTTGGCCACCTCTCTCTCCTGGAGCTATGGTACATCAATGTCACCGTTCCTCGGCTCTTGGCGGCCTTTCTTACCCGGGATGGTAGAGTCTCCTATGTGGGTTGCATGACCCAACTCTACTTCTTTATTGCCTTAGCCTGTACTGAATGTGTGCTGTTGGCAGTTATGGCCTATGACCGCTACCTGGCCATCTGTGGACCCCTCCGTTACCCTAGTCTCATGCCTTCCAGTCTGGCAACTCGCCTTGCTGCTGCCTCTTGGGGAAGTGGCTTCTTCAGCTCCATGATGAAGCTTCTTTTTATTTCCCAATTGTCCTACTGTGGACCCAATATCATCAACCACTTTTTCTGTGATATTTCCCCACTACTCAACCTCACCTGCTCCAACAAGGAGCAAGCAGAGCTAGTAGACTTCCTTCTGGCCTTGGTGATGATTCTACTCCCTCTGTTGGCTGTGGTTTCATCATACGCTGCCATCATTGCAGCCATCCTGAGGATCTCTACTTCCCAGGGACGCTGGAAAGCCTTTTCGACTTGTGCTGCTCATCTGACAGTGGTTGTTATCTACTACTCCTCCACTCTCTTCACCTATGCACGGCCCCTGGCCATGTACACCTTCAACCACAACAAGATGATCTCTGTGCTCTACACTATCATTGTACCATTCCTCAACCCAGCCATCTACTGCTTGAGGAACAAGGAGGTAAAGGATGCCTTCAGGAAGACAGTGATGGGCAGATGTCGCTATCCTAGGGATGCTGCGGGTTGATACACAAAAGGTCCTGGGAGGGGTGAAAATATGGGAATCTTAGTAGCGCTTCCTTGAGGAATCGGAATGGGTTTAAAGGGAACATAAATGTAACTTGCCAACAGTTTCTCTAAATATTTTCTGGGACCTTCTGACAACAAATAAAAGTTTATGAATCATTTAGTTTTTTTTACAGGGGTTTCCAAACTAAGACTGGGCTAGCTATGTAAGAATCACTTGGGAGTTTGTTAAAATAAAGATTCCCCCTGCCTAAAAATGTGGAGAGTCTTACTAAGTATGTCTGGAATATAACCCAGTGAGAAAATATAACATGAGAATAAAAGGGAACTTACTGCTAGATACATCAATAAAAAAAGTAGGTAGACTTCAATGAAACAATTTCAAAGATCCAGAATCTCAAATCCCACTTTCATAAGAAACTGCACAAGTATGTTATACCCCAAGAACTAAATTTCATGTCATCTAATCAATATCCTTTACCTCTACAAAACTCACATTCATTGAAAGTCAGAGCAGAGAGAGACGCGATGCTGGTATTTAAGCATTATATATTCACTACTCAACATGGCTAAATATCCTCTCCATCTCCCTTCTTTGAATCTCAGGGGAATATAAAGCTGGTTGACCTAATAAATATTGACCAGGTAGCAGGTAAAATGTTATAGAAAACTTACATACAGATCTTCTTCACTATGGCCAGCACCTGTTTTAACTAATTCGTAACAGGGCCATACCAGTTGTCAAATATTTTAAATTGTGTTCCCAGTCAAAGGACTGTAAGAACAGAAAATGCCTTTATAAAAAAAAAGATTGAAGAGCCATAGATAGGATGCAGATATCTCTATGGCAATTGGGATGCCTCAGGTTCATAGCCTGAATCATAGATATTCTAGAAAGTTCCTTTGATATTTTTGGAAAGTTGCTTGAATTGCTCAGAGAAATTTTTTATATCTTGAATCTAGGCTCATTTATGCAAATATATGCATATTGAACCAAATTCAATGATTATTTAGATGTGAGATATGTGAAACAAAAAAATAAACATACAATTGAACAAATTCCAATGAACACAGATTGTTGGTCAGTGCACATTTGCCTAGTTTGAGAGGTTCTGAGGGAGAAAAGGACATGTGTCCATCAACGGAAACCACTTTATCAACAATCATTTTAGATTTTCCAATATTAAAAACAAAATAACAATGAAAGATCTGATACTTAAAACTGTTTCGGTTGTTTGTTTTCATGCAATTTCTAAATAGTCTCGGAAACATGTCTGAATGTACCTCAATTTACATTATATTCTCCCCTCCTTTTATAGAATTATCAAAGACATGGAGTTCAGAATTAAGACCCTAGAACCAACAAATTTCAATTTGATCCTGGCTTTACTAATAACAAGTTATGTGATCATAGGCAAGGAATGTTACATCACTGCTCTTAGTTTCTCTTTGATAATAAAAATAATATCTTTTCCATCATATGGGCTTGTTGTTAAATAAATAATGCATATGTGGGCAAAGGATTTTTTTTCTCTTTCTTTGTGGATAGATTTGATCTTAGGTTAATTTCTAGTTCTGGTTCCCTAGAAACCTAATAAACATTACTATGCAACATTGCTTGTAGTACAAATTATCTCTGATCAGTAAAGACCTCTGAACTGGGAGGATGATGAATATGTTAGAGATATCTCGTGGGAAATTATAGCTTCAGGCTACTTTTGTAACTTGGCATGCCTTTTGCAAGGAATTCTAGAAGCTATGAAAGCCCATGAAAATGTTACAAGTGATACAGGTGCTTACAGGGCTTGAGAATTCCATGTTAAGGTGGACACTGCACCCCTTGATGAGAATCTTATGTCCTTCTACCTGAGCTGTGACTTTAAATGACAAAGTCTGTTCCATCAACTGCATTCAAGACTTCTTTCCCATAACGGAAACTCCTAAAACTGCCCTTCTGGAATGTTGGATTTACTATCCTGTTTCCCTGAGTTAATGTTATGCCAGGTGAGGCCTTTGATAGTGTGTGAATTTGTTTGGTGGAACCTAAGACCTTCTGGCATGTAATACAGTTAACTCACAGTAAGCATTTAATAAATGCCAAGCTTCATCATTATGGTCATTTTATTATTACAAATACCATGATATGCTTTCTAATAGATGTGCCCATTCTATTAACCATGTATTAAACTCAGTCTTACTCAAACTGAGATTGGAGAATTGGCTTTCTCTAAAACATAGATAGAAAGGAAGGCTCCAGCCGTCTTTGTAACTATGTGGAGTAGGCAACAAGTTGACCGGAAAGTTTAGCATTTCCAATTATATAATCTAAAATTGTGCCAAGATGTCATCAGATTGAGTCAGTGAAGTTCCTCCCTTAAAAAAGATTAAAACATGCTATTTCTATAACTCTCATTTTGTCATAGTCATATTTTCCTCATTGGAAGGTCACAGTGCTTTTGATTTATTCTTCCTCTACTGTGAGAGATTCCTATAGGGCATTAATTGGTGTTGAGGGTTTCTAAGTGCTTACTTCAGAGATTTCTTCAAACATTCTATTTTACTCCAACAATGGTGCTTTTAATATAAAACATGCTCTGAAAATGATTCTTATTTGCAGCTCAGTTTCCAATAAGAAAAAAAGTGAGTGTTCTTTAGTTACCTGGCCAAAAGTGACCTCATTTGTCACTGCTAGGATAACCTAATTTTTTGAAGCTGAAAACATGCCTGACCCAGGCAACAAACCTACATTGTTGCCATATAGTTGATATCTCAGCTTCTCTTTAAACTAAGACTGGCTATGTATCTAATTTTTTCTCAGTGAAATATAAATGGAATCCTGCTGGAGAGGTTGTCTTTTAGAGAGAAAGATGTGTCTGGTGCTGCTGCTAGCACTGTCCCTTTCCCTTTTCTGTACCTGGATCTGATGCTGGAGTTCCAGCAACCATCTGGAAGGTAATAAATATGGGAGGAAAGATCAACACACAAGGCTAGAGATGCAGAAATATATGAAAATCATGAGCGTTTGGCAGTATGGCTGAACAATTGAACTACATTGGTGCAAAAGTAATTGCAGTTCTGTACCATGAATTTGAAACCATTATAACTGGAATCAAACACATCTCTATTAACCGAAGTAGGAACCATTACAATCAATATATTTTTGCCAATGAGAAATGAGTTTGCTTATTCCTGTAGCATAAAATTCCATGCTTCATGGTTTGATGAACTCTTAGAAAGCATTTTCTTCTTCCTGCTGGTTGTGAAAGTGTTTTTCCTGCAAAAAGTTGCCAGGATGCTTGAAAAAGTAGTAGTTGGTTGGCAGCAGGTCAAGTGAATATGGTGGATAAGCCAAAGCTTCATTAAACTTTTGAAGCATTGTGTGTGATATACAGTTGGACATTGTGGTGGAGAATTGAGCCCTTTCTCTTGACCAATGCTGGCTACAGGTGTTACAGTTTTTGTTGCATCTTATTGGTTTGCTGAGCTTACTTCTCAGATGTAATGGTTCAGCTGTAGTGGATCAGACAGGCAGCAGACCACCAAATAGTGACGATGACCTTTTCTTGGTGCAAGATTTTGACTTTGCAAAGTGCTTTGGAGCTTCTTCTCCTCTAGCCACTGAGCTGGCCTTCGCCGACTGTTATATGAAATTTACTTTTCTTTACAAGTCACAATCTGATCAAGAAATGGTTCATTGTTGTTGCATAGAATAAGAGAAGACAACACTTCCAAATGACTATTTGTTTTTATTTCACTCAGCTCAAGGGCACTCACTTATCGAGCTTTTCACCTTTCCAATTTCTTCAAATTCCAAACAATCATAGAATGGTTGACGTTGAGTTCTTTGGCAACTTCTCATGTAGTTGTAAAAGGATCAGCTTGGATGATTGCTCTCAATTTGTTGTTGTCAACTTCTGATAACCGGCCACTATGCGCCTCATCTTCAAGGCTCTCGTCTCCTTTGCAAAACTTCTTGAACCACCACTACACTGTACATTCGTTAGCAGTTCCTGGGTGAAATGTGTTGCTAATGTTGCAAGTTGTCTCTGCTGTTTTATGGCTCATTTTGAACTCGAATAAGAAAATTACTTTAATTTGCTCTTTGTCTAAAATAATTTCCACAGCCTAAAATAAACATAAAATAAACAGCATAGTGGCCAGCTATCAGAAGTTGACAATGACAAATTGTTGCCATTTTGTTACTGGCTGGTTTTCTTCTTTATTTGACATGGTTTCTTCTTTATGTCATTGTTCTTTACAATTTGGTACATTTTTTGCAGTGGCTAGTACTAGTTGTTCCTTTCCCTGTTCAGTACTTCCTTCAGTAGCTCTTGTAAGGCAGGTCTTATAGTTACGAAATCTCTCAGCAATTGCTTGTCCATAAAGGATTTTACTTCTTCTTCACTTATGAAGCTTAGTTTGGCTGGATATGAAATTCTGGGTTGAAAGTTCTTTTATTTATGGATGTTGAATATTGGCCCCCACTCCCTTCTAACTTTCAGGGTTTCTGCTGTGAGTCTGATGGGCTTCCCTTTGTGGGTGACTCGACCTTTCTCTCTGGCTGCCCTTAGGATTTTTTCCTTCATTTCAACCCTGGTGAATCTAACAATTATGTGCATTGGGTTTGCTCTCCTTGAGGAGTATCTTTGTGGTGTTCTCTGTATTTCCTGGATTTGAATGTAGGCCTGCCTTTTTAGGTTGAGAAAATTCTCCTGGATAATATCTTGAAGAGTATTCCAACTTGGATTCATTCTCCCCGTCACATTCAGGTATGCCGATGGAGCGTAGATTAGGTCTTTTCACATAATACCATAGTTCTTGGAGGCTTTGTTCATTTTTTTCTCACTCTTTTCCCCCTAATCTTGCCTTCTCATTTTATTTCATGGATTTGATCTATCTCTGATATCCTTTCTTCTGCTTGATCTATTTATTTGGCTGTTGACACTTGTGTATGCCTGGTGAAGTTCTCGTGCTGTATTTTTCAGCTCCATCAAGTCGTTTATATTCTTCTCTAAGCTGATCATTCTAGTTAGCATTTCATCTAACCTTTTTTCAAGGTTCTTAGTTTCTTTGAATTGGGTTAGAAGACGGTCTTTTATCTCAGAGAAGTTTGTTATTACCCACCTTCTGAAGCCTACTTCTGTCAATTCATCAAATTCATTCTCTGTCTTTTTTTGTTCCCTTGATGGTGAGGAGTCGTGATCCCTGGGAGGAGAAGAGGTGTTCTTTTTTTTTTTTTTGCACCCCCCCCCCAAATCTTCATGGATTTATCTCCCTTTGATTTTTGAAGTTGGTGATTTCAGGAGTCTCTGAGTGGATGCTTTTTCTGTTGAGGTTGGAGCTGTATCTTTTTTGGCCTGTAGAGGGCGTTGCTGGGCTCTCGAGTTCAGTCAGCTTGCTGGATGGGTGGTCCTTTCCCGGAGTTTGTTTGCAGGTGAGATTGGCCCCGCCTTCCCAATGGCGTCTCTCCTTCCCCAGCTGAATCTTCCTAGTTGGGGTCAAGCTGGTGTAATTGCTGCCAAGCTCTCAGCGAGGGCTTCAGTTTGAGTTCTGTGGAGGTGGGGCCTGCGAGGCCTTATGGTCTGTTTCCTTGCTTCCAACTCTGCCTCCCTCTGTGGGACTGTCCGTCCCGCCGGCCTTAGCCCAGACTTCCGCCCAGGTCCGTGTGACAACTTGTGGTGACCCGCGGTAGCCGCTGCTCAGATTTGCGTCGACTACACACAGCGCCCCACCGTCTGCTGGGCTCTCGTCGACCGTGGGTTGCAGGAGAGATGAGGTAAGCACAGGATACGAAACGGAGCACGAGGGGGCTAAGTCCCCGACCCTCCGAGCCAGCTGCATGTTTCAAGTGGGGACGCACCCCACCCCTCCGCCCGGTCTTGATTTGCCCCCCCCTGGGCGGCTCTCGCCCTGTGGCTCCTTCCCTGGGCTATTTTCAGTGCCCTATCAGTCCCATCTAAACGAACCCAGCACCTTGTTTGGAATCGTGAAGCCCTCTAGCCCTCTGTGTCTCATTTGCTGGGAGCTGCATTCCGGTGTTGTCTTCTCTCGGCCATCTTGGCGCCTCCCTATTTTTTAAGGTTCTTAATTTGTAAAGTAGCGTGTAAACTAACACAAAGTAGCATGCAGTGAAGTAAACAGTAAAGTAGTATGCAGTGAAGCTTATCATTATTTTATTTATTTTGGCCATGTAACTAAAAAACAGTGGGTGCATAGTGGTTGTATATTTATACGTGAGACGTTTTGACACAGGCATGCGATGTGAAATAAGCACATTGTGGAGAAGGGGGTATCATGATTTTTTAAATGAAATTAATCTCTTTTAAAATAGCAGCACTATTCATTCAATTGACTAAGAATGTACTCAAATTTAAAAAGAAAATAAAAATGTTGCGACTTTCATTCACAAGACACTGTAGAAGGCACAGGACATGATTATCCCCAAATTTTTGTGACTTAAGAAAAGATATAGAAGCTTCAGAATTTCCAGAAAGAATTATGAAATACTAACACAAAAGAAAAATAAGTTTCCCTAGTAAACTTATTCAGTTAAAAATTTCTCCATTTCTTCTCACCAAAGAAAAATGCATATTCTGAGTATTTCCTCAGAGCCCAATTTCTTACAATATATAAGCATGTACTTTTTCTCGTTCAACTCACAGATGTAGTTTACCTATTGTTTTTTAATACTAACTCTTAAAACGATTTCTTTTTTGACAGAAAATAGTAACAAACTTTGATTTTTTTCCCTTTAAGCACTCACCGTTCTAACGATATATTTTGGTATTGAGAAATTATTATAAACCAAGAAAAGACCATAGTTTATTATTCGTTTCTCAGTTCACAGTACTAGTTAGGAAGATTTTTTGTTAAAGATCTTAGGTAGTATTCATATCTTTTCTACAAATCTCCCCACAATAGTACTTAATCAGCCAGGAGCTTCTGCTATTCCTTATCTTCCTCTGCACTAAAGTTACACATTTTTATGTCATCTAAATAAAATAGGACTCAGCTCATTTCCTCACTGAGCAGATATTTTAGGTGCCTGCTATGTGACAGACATTGTATTCAAAAGCAGTAAGTTGGGAAAAGTCTCTTTCCTTGAGAATCCTTAGTCCAGTAATTTTTAAATAATATTTTAGAGTCTCAGTCATATATATTTTATCAACTTTTACAAATTAAATAAACAGAACTTTATTTAAGAAGTAGCATACAGTGGACTCTGCCTCTACTTTTCCAATGAAAACTGGAAAAATTGGACAATCTCTTGATGAGAAGCCAGTTAGCTCATGACTCAGTCAAAAACAGCTTCATTGTTTCATTCAAATATTCTGGAAATTTCAAAAGTGACAAAAATTCTTATGCTTGTGTGCAAGTAAATTATAAGTAAATTGGAAATTAAATTAACTTTTCTGAACACCTTCTATTTGCTTGACATAATACAAATACTCACACATAAAAGCCTGTATTTATATGGCAAGTGTTGTTCTAAACAGCTCATATATATAACCCTTACCATCAGCGCAATAATTCTGACAGATAAGTACTCTTATTGTTTCATTTTTTTCAATTTTAAAAAAAAACTGAAACACAGAATAATTTGCCCAAGGTCATGTGAGTAGAACATGACTGAGCCAGGATTTGAACCATGACACTCTAGCTGCAGAATCTTTACTCAGAGCTGCTACTCAAGACTAGCCTTTGGTTTGATGTATCACCTTTTAAATATGAAGAATGTAATACTAACAGAGGTTTGAGAACTTACTTACATCCAGAGGTGGCAAAGAGCAATACAAATCCATGTATGCTGACTTGAAAGCCATGTCCTCTTTCTTTTTACATATCACAGAAATTTTTAATTATCTGTATCGTGTTTTCCTTCTGTATTTCAACAGAATGGAATTAAAACTGAGTGATATTAAACCTCTGTTTCCTATTTACTACTTCCATAAATAGGAAACAGAGGTTTAATAGCACTCCGTTTGAACCTCCTCTCTTATCAGAAGAGGTTCTGGTTCTTGAAGTCTATCAGCAAATTCCTAAAGGGTGAATAAAACTATTACAGTAAAACTATTTGAAAAGAGTAGTGACACGTGATCAGAATAGTTCCCGACACTTAGAAGATACTCAATACATATTTATTGAATGGCCAGGTTCCTATAGAATGGCAACACAGAATATCACCAAAGAACCAGTAATGAGCTGAGAGACTGCCTGGAAATAAATGAAGTGTTATTCTAGTTTTCTATGGGAATAATTTCCTTTTTAAATTTTTTATCAAATTGAAAAATGATAAGGAGTTAAAAGTGGTTACTCCTAAAAATATGAACTAGGCCCTTTGGAATCTGAAGGGTTTTGCTATGTTTCCTCAGGGGAATTCTGTTATTTTTAAATAAAGAGCTTAATTTTATATTGGGAGATGTTATTCTTTTTTGGCTAGTTCTCATCTTTCCCAACTCCAGAAAAGCGGTCTCCTGCAATGGTCAACATCCTTCATGGTAGTACATAGCAAAATCCAAAGAGCCTGCTCCCTTTCCGCTGTAGTCCTGGGTCTGTGGTTCTAAAGATAATTATCCTGGATGTGCAGCTATCCTAACCCAGGAAGCAACATATATACCTAAAGAGATAACTGTCCGATTTCCATCCCAGTTTATTTTCCATATAATCTTATTACCATCCTCTTTCTCTGAATCCCTTTATATGCTTCTGAATGTGTGTACTAGTTGTAGATAATAAGAGTAAATATATAACATGTTCTTATCTTTGAAAATACAGAGATCTGAATGCAGTATATTCATTGTTCACATCTATTGAGTTACCGATGCATTACAGTTACTTCTGTGCATACTTAGCACAATATCTGAGTGTGTTTGAAGTTTGTTAATGTGCATGTGCTCATACACTTGGGTCTCCAAATAAGGAAGGGTACTTACTATTCTTATTTTCTGAATGACTTGGGTTATAGCACTATCTTTTTCTGGAAGACCTTATTGTTTGTGAGATTGTTCCTCAGAAAGTGGACACAAACACACACACACACACACACACACACACACACACAATTTCCCCTTGCCACCTTTCTCTTCCCAAGTCTTTTTGGGGAGGATGGGCAGTGTACTTCCAGCCAGCCTAAGGTCTCTTTTGTGCCTGGAGACTCTACTTAGCTTGCTGGCTCTTCCTTAATATTCTCCCAGGATCCCCTTGAGCCCTGGAAAGGCCAAATATGTTCCTGAAGACTGTGTCTCTTGGGAGGTCCCTTGTGGATAGAAGGGAGTTTGTTTGCCTCCTCCTGTAGCTTGAAAGCAGGAAGAAACACAAATAGCTCCATTCTGTGCCTTCTTCAAGCAGAGACATAAACCAGACTTGCCCAGCAACTCTCTAGGCTTATGGACATTGTTCTCCTTCTCTTGGTCTACATGGTTTCTTCTCTTTTCTCAGAGCAAGCTGGCCATCCTTGACAGAGCTAAGTAGAAAAAGGGTTACATTCCTGAGAAAATGGTAAGTTGAAAAAAAGACTCAGATATTTCCAAAGGATAATTTAGCCATCTTATAATTATTTATTTTTATGAAGGAAAGTAGGGAATCATTGAAGATAAATTATATATAAATTACTGATTCATCCAAAATTTTATTTCATTGATTTTTAAAAACACTTTGTCATCTTTAAGCCTATAATGAGTCGTGATACAAGTTACAGATGGAGAGGAATTTAGTATGTACATAGATTCATTCCAGTCTGACAAATTGTTTTCAGCATCTATGCATATCTACCCATATGAAATATGTTAAGGGTTCAGAAATATAGCGTCCTATGAATTCTCTGTCATTTTAAGACTCTACCGTGATAACTTACTCTAAGTGAAATAGGCCTGGTTATGAAAATAATCCCAAAGGTTTGTTCTAAAGATGCCTTAATGCATTTGACCAACTCTGCCTCGCAAAGTGCAGATTCCAGGTCTACTCTGACTTAAGAGACAAAAAGAGAGAAAACAGCATAAAGGATGGAATTAATGGGCTGGTGTAGATGAATGAATATGTGTATGTGAGAATTAGTGGGTAGAACATAGGCATGTGAGTTAGCATGTGTGCTTTTATGCTAAATAAGAGCAGGGGCTACAAACAAGATGATGTCTGCAGGGTCAGATGGCTTATAATATTTTTCCTCCTACATTTTTTCTATTTTTAATTAATATGTATATATATAATTATACATATTTGTGGGGTACATAGTGATATGTTGATCCATACATATAATGAACAGTGATCAGATCAGAGTGATTAGCATATTCATCATTGCAAACACTGACAATTTCTTAGTCTTGGGAACATTCAGTATCCTCCTAGCTATTTGAAACTATGTATCATCTTACTGTTAACCATAGTCATCCTACAGTGCTGTAGAACATAGAATTTCACTTCTAGTGATAGTGCCAGAGAGCAGGAAAAATTCTTTTTCTGTTGTCCTGGTTAGTCAAAAAATTTGCATCACATTAAGTGACGATATTTATTTTCAACTTGAAATCCTGAAATAAACTGCAAAAATTAATCGTGCTCAAAATGAGACCCATAGAAATTAAGCCACTTTTCCTAAAGGACCGAGATGAAAATTAAATTACGTCAAACTACAAGTCATGATTTTGGAAAATAATAGAGTATAAAGGATCAGGGATATGAAATACACATTTTTTTTCTTAAAGTCTTCAAAGTCAACACACAGTAGAAACAGAAAGGTGCAGAGGGGTTCGCTACATAGCAGCTAGGCACTCTGTTCTACCACAAACACAGTAGCTGTTACACATATAACTGAAGCACACATGTTTCTGAAAAGCCTAGGAAAAGGGAGCTGGATTCGAATTGTATCTCTTTGAAACTGATTTGAAAGAGTAAGACTGTGTTCCTCCCCTTAAGAAAATGCCTTACAGTTGAGCATCCAAGGCTGATATGTCCACTTATGGCTAACCTATACTTTTTTGTTTTTCTCACCTTCCTGCAGGAATTAGTGGAAGACTAGATTGAGCACAAGTGGTTGCTCTGTTACTTGTCTCACTACCTATGTTCCATTTTTGAAGACCTCTGAGACCCTCAGTTTGGCCAAAACAATCCCCACAGAGCTTGTATGGCAATTTTTAAAATGCCTCCATTACCAGGAGCAATTTGACCATATACATTTTTTTCCCTACACCTCATTTTCCCACAAACAACAGAGCAGGTCATTTCCTAGAAACATTGTTATCCTGTGCTCATTGTTCACTACCTATGGGAAAGGTCATACCCACCCTTTCTGGGAAATCAGAAAGAGCCTCTTGCTCCTCTCTGATGGAAGGGTCAAAGGGATAAAGAAGATATTCCTATTCTCTGATTCCAGAATGAAACTAAGCCTTAAATACCTGTTACATTTTCCATAGCCTGATGATATTTGTCTATGTCAAATGTCCCAGTTAAGCTGGAATCATCCAAGGTTGTATATATATAACCATACATATCTATATATGGAAATTGAGTGGCTTAATCTAAAAAAGGAAAGACATGATGAGACGGGGGATATGGAGGGTAGGGCAGGGAACTGGAGGTTTAATGGACCTGACACTATTTTCAAACAGTGAAGTTTATCCTTTGAGAAGATGATGAGGCTTATTTTTAGAAACAGAACCAAATTAAGTTTCTCTTCTTTAAAGTATGGTAGTTTTATAGATACTGAATTTCCATTCCTGAAAAAGTCGGGCAAAATCTAGATGAATACTTACATCTATCTATGCATTGGTGATTCACAAATGTGGTAGGGACCTAAATCATATTACCTCTTGGGTTCTTTGCAGTCCTACAATCCTGTATTTCTAGAGCTGAAGGATCTCTTTCGAATTCCTTAGTAGTGTGTGTGTGTGTGTGTGTGTGTGTGTGTATGTGTGTGTGTGTGTAAGTGTGTAATCAATACAATGGGCCAGCAATTGTGAAAGCTAAAAAATATATTTTTTTCTGAGAAAAATCATAATTTTAAGACTCACACTAACTTTTATAATTCTGTTCAAATCAGGCTAAAACTTAAGATAAATTGTCCTTCAGCTAATAATAATTGGGTCAGATAAGGAATTAATTTGAATGAAGCGTATAACAGGGAGCCATAGAAGAAATTAAATAATTAAATTGAATGAATTGTATAAGACAATTAAGGATTAAAGCTTGCTAGGGACTAAAATGTAATCATTAATAAATTGCTACTCTGCCACTATATGGTTGTTTAAACTAGAGAAAATCACTTAAATCACTCTGGGATTTCCTTATCTGAGGGAAAAGAAAGAAGTGTGAATTAAAATACCACTGGTTTAAAAATGCCATTATTTCATGAGACAAGTCCATAATGCATGACTATGAGTCGGCTACAAAAAAAAGTGAGATGGTTTATCCTGCTGCTAGGTAAGTGTTTGAGATCCAGAGTGCTGGAACCTTCAACTGGCTCTTGGCTCTCATCCTGGCCCTTTGATTCTTCACTCCTTACATTTTTATTCCTTACATAGAGTGCTATTAAAACTATTTTTACAATTTAATTCTCAGAAGAAAAAAACCTCACCCAATTCATAGATCATCTTCTACCTACTCATACACAAAAACCAGTAGAGTATAAAAAATAAATATGGCATTTAATTTCAATTCCGTCATTAAGGAGCTTAGCTGTGTATCATTCAGCTAGACATTTAATATCCCTGGGTCAAGTCAGCACTGTGACGTTTGTGCTAACTCCATGGTGGTGAAGATCAGATAAAATGATGTGAATGTGCTTTCACATACACAAATGGGAGTTCTCATTTGGCAGTAAAGATACACACATTCAGCATAGCCGCCTCAGAATCTAGTTGCTATGAAACTTCCACTGGAGGAAATGCCATGAACGATGTGAGCCTTGCTCTCTTCCTCACAAGTCTGTCCAATGGACTGTCTAAACAGTCTTAGAAGGCACTAGGATGTGACTCAGACAATCTAGCCCTAGAATTTAGGAATTTAGGACCTCTACTATGTCTACAATGTATGTGCCTTTTGATAAAGCACTCTACCTCTTTCTACATTAACTCACATTTATCAAAATATAAATCTATATATACATGTGTGAATAACTTTGAAAACTGAATGTGAGCATATTGTACTTCCAGTTGTTTTCCTCTTCTGCTTGACTGCTAGAGACCTCAAAACTGAATTCCATGCTCAAAGGATAAAGCTGCTTAATCAGTTGTTCTTTATATAATACTGCACACTCCCTTTTCATTTCTTTCTATTTTTATTTTGTGGAGCGTCCTCTGGACTTTTCTGCTGGAATTAAAGAAAGAATGAATGAATGCACAGTGCTGTAAAAATATCACCCACTTAATTTACTAATTCTTTTCAAAATTAAATTAGATGTTTTTATTTCCAGCTTCATGTCTGAAGCAGCTACCCTAAGAATGGCAATATCTATTGCAAAGAAATGGAGAATACACTGCATTATTTAGTAGGGTTGTTCTAACTATGCTTTTTAGGCTAGGCATCTTCTACAGGACCCTGGGGATGGTTCCCAGAAACGAGGACATTAGGGTACTATGCCTTGCCTGTAGTTTCCTAGAATATTATAAAAAAAAATACATGCAAAGATTAAGCCCAAAGACATGGCTCTGGAGACCAATATCCTTTTACTATGGACTAAGAGAGTGCCTCCCAAATAGTAATACTGCCCTCAGTAGCTTACAACATGTTCATTTCATCAAGCCATTGAAAAGGAAAGTTATTTAGTAAGAGAGAGCCAGGTAGAGACTGACCTGAACTCTTCACAGATAGATTTTGAGTGGTTTGAATTTTTGGACTCAAAGATGTTTTTTTTCAAATCAGGATGAAGGAAAAGTTAAGCAGGATCCAAACCTTGCCTTGCTTGGAAGCCCCACTCTCACACTGCCTAGGGAATACCAAGCTGTGCTGAGTAAGGGCAAGTTTTGTGTTGACTGTGGGTGTTTGTGTACGTGCGTGTGTTTCTCAGGACTGTATTCCCACAGAAAACTAAATTATTTGAATTTATACTATTATATATTATTTGCCTTTTCTGGGTTATCTGTGTTCATTTCCCCCTCTAAGAAAGAATAATCCTGCTTTCCAATTCTGCCTTTCTTCAGGATTCTAAAGCTGAAATCTAAGTGGGAAGAAGGAAATGGATAGTGTGGACAGTAGTTTTCTGGCTCTTTTTCTCATGACTATTCCTTAGGGGGGGAAAAAACCCTCCCCTAGTTGTCCTGTGTATTTACACCATAAAATAGAGCTGTTGAGAAATGGGGAGCAAGGGAGACTGTAGCTTTGGAGAAGAACAGAAAAGATAAATGAAGCAATAGGACACAGAGTGAGACTTGAAATGGGAAGATGTTGAATATCAATAGGTTTGGGAATGATTCTCAGCCCAACACAAAAAGAGGTCACACATTTTGCTAAATTATGGAACAGAAATGCAGAAGGGTCAGTAAAAAAAAAGTCATTCTTGTTCTTTTTCTCTGATATTACTCCCAACAGGTTACAGGTTTTTAAATTTAGCACCCTTGGGAAAGTCCCACAGTCCTCTCCCTTTTCTCATTAACAATGGCTGCTGTTTGCACCAGTTTTTTTGGCTGTTTTCAGCAGGGGTAAAAGTTGGGGTGGGGGAAGCTCTGTGTGTGGGGTGGAGTGTGTGTTGTTTTGAAAGGAGGACGAGCTATGTATGTGGACGTAAGTAGGGTAGCCTGGTACGGTAAAAGCAAGCTTCAGAGGAATTGGATTTAAACTCTAAAGCCCATTTGATGTTCACAAAACATGAGCCCTACTGCATTATCCTCATTTTAGAAATAAAGTAACTAATATTATAAAAGATCATGTGATACGCTCACTTAGCTATACCAAGACAAAATATGGATTTGAATGCACTTTTGTCAAACTCCTGAGCAAGCATTCTATATAATGGATTGGATTGAAGAAAATATTACCCTTCAAGTTATCCATTCAGTTTTGTTCTCTGAAAAGCTGGTGAATGATTTTATCAACATTATTTTGCTTTTAATCCTGTGGGTGTGCTCAACTATAACTTCATTCAAGAGTAAGCACCTTGTTAAAGAAAAGCAGGGAAATTCTCTCCATTTTACAGATAAGTGGGGTCATGCAACCACTCCAGAGTCACACAAATTACCCCTAGAGAATGGGCAATTGGGCCCTCTTCCTCCTCTTCATATTCAGTAGACGGGGGATGTTTTGCCTGTAGTGCAAGGGTGATATGGAGACCATTTTCTATGTGCCCAAAAGTGATATATTGACAAAGCACAACTGGGATTTAGAAAGTTATATTAATCTCTATTTTGTGTGACCTTGCACAAGTTACTGCTCTTGAGAAAATCTGAAAAAAAAAAAGTTGAATTATAAGCTCCCTAAATTTCACCTTTTCTCAAAGGCTTTGGTTCTCATCATAATTCAAGAGGCAAAAAGATTTAAAAAGCAGAGGATCACCTATTGTGATAAATTGGCTGGTGGTGGGTCCCATCAGTGCAAATAACCATAGACTAGGGCTGGCATCATGGAGGGAACTGACTTTGTCTGTGCCCACAGCCAGTCATGACCACCGTCATTCTGGAAGTAGATAATGGTACAGTGACAACACATTTCGTTCTTCTGGGGTTTCCAACACGACCAGCCTTCCAGCTTCTTCTTTTCTCCGTTTTCCTGGCAACCTACCTGCTGACACTGCTGGAGAATCTTCTTATCATCTTAGCTGTCCACAGTGATGGGCAGCTGCATAAGCCCATGTACTTCTTCCTGAGCCACCTCTCCTTCCTGGAAATGTGGTATGTCACAGTCATCAGCCCCAAGATGCTTGTTGACTTCCTCAGCCATGACAAAAGTATTTCCTTCAATGGCTGCATGACTCAACTGTACTTTTTTGTGACCTTCATCTGCACTGAGTACATCCTTCTTGCTGTCATGGCCTTTGACCGCTATGTGGCCATTTGCAATCCACTACGCTACCCAGTCATCATGACCAACCAGCTCTGTGGCACACTGGCTGGAGGATGCTGGTTCTGTGGACTCATGACTGCCATGATTAAGATGGTTTTTATAGCACAACTTTACTACTGTGGCACACCTCAGATCAATCACTACTTTTGTGATATCTCTCCACTGCTCAACGTCTCCTGTGAGGACTCCTCACAGGCTGAGCTGGTGGACTTCTTCTTGGCCCTCATGGTCATCGCTATTCCTCTTTGTGTTGTGGTGGCATCCTATGCTGCTATCCTTGCCACCATCCTCAGGATCCCTTCTGCTCAGGGCCGCCAAAAGGCATTCTCCACCTGTGCCTCCCACCTGACCATTGTAATTCTCTTCTATTCCACAACGCTTTTCACCTACGCCCGTCCCAAACTCATGTATGCCTACAATTCCAACAAAGTGGTATCTGTTCTCTACACTGTCATTGTTCCACTCCTCAACCCCATCATTTACTGTCTGAGGAACCGTGAAGTAAAGGCAGCCCTCAGAAAGACCATATGTTGCAGAGGAAGTGGGCCCCAGGAAAATGGGGCTTGCAGTAGTTGAAAAATGTATAGATTCCTTTCAGGCTTGAACTGAGAGATGACCACTACACACTTTCCCCCTCAGTCTTGTCTTTGGTTATCCTTCAATCTCCAGCACTGTAACATTGCTCGTGTGTGTGTGGGGGGGGGGGGTGTACACACAATCATGACTAGAGAAACATGTTCTCAAGAACCTCTGCTGTCAGATTGAGAGACAAGTTTTTAAATTGTAGAGAAGCTACTTGAAATCAGGAAGAAAGAGAGAGAGAGAGGCTGGTAAAGGGAGGCAGGAAAGGAGGAAGATAAATACTTTTTCCATACAGCTTATCAAAATAAATGCCAGATAGGACAATTAAATATAAAGAATAGTTCGTCTCTCAGGTGGTCAGAAAAGAGTTTTTTGACTCCCTATATTGTAGAAGTAAAAGAAAAAGATAAACATAAATTAATGCCTGTTAGGCACTGTGGCACATACCTGTAGTCCCAGCTACATAAGAGACTAAGTCAGGAGGATCCCTTGAGTCCAGGAGCCTGGGCCCAGCCTGGTCAACATAGGGAGACCCCATCTACTTCCCTCCAAATAACATAAATGACTAATTTGTTAAGGCTTTTAAAAACAAAAGATTAAGTTTATACCAAATAACAAAGTGAAAACTATTTCTAATTTTTAATATTAATAATAACCTATACTAACATTAAATACTAAAAAAACTTTAAAATAAGCATATAAAAATTAAACTCTCAGTGGAAAAACAAGTTAAGAATATAAACATAATCTTAAAAGTAGGCAGTCGTTCTGGGCAAAATTAGGTCCCACTCCTCCCTGCCTCCAAAAGAAGTATGTTGTCCTGATCCCCAGTCTCTCAGAATGTGAACTTATTTGGAAGTAGGATTCTTATTGGAGGTAATTGAGCTGGAACTTGGCTGTTAGGGTGGGACCTAATATGGTATGACTGGTGTCATTATAAAAAGGAAAAGTTTGAGGCCGGGCACAGTGGCTCAAGCCTGTAATCCCAGCACTTTGGGAGGCTGAGGCGGGTGGATCACAAGGTCAAGAGATCGATACCATCCTGGTCAGCATGGTGGAACCCCGTCTCTACTAAGAATACAAAAGATCAGCTGGGCATGGTGGCCCGTGCCTATGATCCCAGCTGCTTGGGAAGCTGAGGCAGGAGAATTGCGGTGAGCCGAGATCACGCCATTGCACTCCAGCCTGGGTAACAAGAGCGAAACTCCGTCTCAAAAAAAAAAAAAAGAAAAAGTTTGGGCACAGACACACACAGAGGAAAGACAGTGTGCACACACACAGGGCAGAAAGCAACCATGTTACTGCAGCAATGCGTCTCTAAGCCAAGGAAGAAGTATTGCTGGTGAACACTGGAAGCCAGAAGAAGCAAGGAAGGATGTTACCCTAGAACTGAGAGAGAAAGAGTATGGCCCTGTCAAGAACTTGATTTCTGATGCCTAACCTGAAAAATACTGAGGCAGTATTTGGTACTTTGTAATGACAGCCCTAGGAAATGAATACAGGAGCCAATAAACCTCAGTAATTTTTAAAAAGATACTTTAAATTGACAAATGGGATATAATTATAAACTGAAAACCTTCTGCACAGCAAAAGAAACTGTAATGGAGTAAACAACCTACAGAATGGAAAAAATTTTTGGCAAACCATACATCTGACAAAGGTCTAATATTCAGCATCTATGAGGAACTTAAACAAATTTACCAGAAAAAAAAAAACAACTCCATTAAAAAGTGGGCAAAGGATGTGAACAGACACTTTTCAAAAGAAAACATACATGCGGCCAGCAATCATATGAAAAAAAAAGCTCAATATTACTGATCATTAGAGAAATGCAAATCAAAATCACAATGAGTGGTTTGAATAATAGCCATTGCAACTGGTGTGAAGTGATATCTCATTGTGTTACCATCTAACGCCAGTCAGAATGGCTATTACTAAAAAAAAAAAAAAAAAACATGCTGGTGAGGTTGTGGAGAAAAAGGCCGGGCGCGGTGGCTCACGCCTATAATCCCAGCACTTTGGGAGGCCGAGTTGGGTGGATCACGAGGTCAAGAGATCGAGACCATCCTGGTCAACAAGGTGAAACCTTGACTCTACTAAAAATACAAAAATTAGCTAGGCATGGTGGTGTGCACCTGTAGTCCCAGCTACTCGGGAGGCTGAGGCAGGAGAATTGCTTGAACCCAGAAGGTGGAGGTTGCGGTGAGCCAAGATCGTGCCATTGCACTCCAGTCTGGGTAACAACAGCGAAACTCTGTCACAAAAAAAAAAAAGAGAAAGGAACACTTACATGCTGTTGATGGGAGTGTATATTAATTCAACCTATGTGAAAGACAGTGTAGCAATTCCTCAAAGACTTAAAAACAGAAATATCATTTGACCCAGCAATCCCATTACAGGGTAGATATCCAAAGGAATATAAATCATTTTACTAGAAAGACACATGCACACATATGTTTATTGCAGCATTACTGACAATAGTAAAGACATGGAACCAACCAGAATGCCCATCAATGATAAACTGGATAAAGAAAATGCACTACATATACATCATGAAATACTATGCAGCCATAAAAAAGAATGAGATCATGTCTTTTGCAGGACCATGGATGGAGCTGGATGTCAGTCATCACCTTTAGCAAACTAATGCAAGAACAGAAAACCAAATACCACATATTCTCGATTGTAAGTAGGAGCTAAATGATGAGAACTCTTGGACACACAGTAGGGAACAATGACACTGGGGCCTATTGGAGGGTACAGGGTAGGAGGAGGTAGAGGATCAGGAGAAATAACTAATGGGTACTAGGCATAATATCTGGTTGGCAAAATAATCTGTACAACAAACGCCATGATACAAGTTTACCTATATAATAAAGCTATACATATGCCCCTAAACTTAAAAATTCAATTAAAAAATTAAAATCTGAACAATATTAATATACCCAAATATTTTAATTGGTTATTTATGTGAGATATTATACATCACATAAGTGACGTAAGAAATTGTATTTTACTGCCAGTGGTTATATAAATTATTTCAAACTCTGGTAGTCAATTTAGAAATCGTTCAGATGGCTCTTTGATTTCAAATACAGGAGTCTGTATTAGGGATATAATTTATCCCTAATTCAATTCACACACACATTCAATTCAGCATATTTAATTTTAAAAGCATGTACATTTTCCAAATAATTGAAATATTTAAGTAAAGTATGGTTTACCTACGAAATAAAACACTATACAGATACTGCAAGTCATATTTCAAAGAAAACAATGTTACAAAGTAATTATAATATTAAATAAAAGGGTAGAATATAAAATACAGCATAGTTTTGATATTATGAACAACTACATTAATTAAGGTATAATTAGTGATAGAGAGATAAATGTGTATGTAAAAAAAATTCTAGAGAGGTTTTAAGTGACACTTTCAAGTTATTTTCTCCAGAGTTATGGCTTACTTTATAATTACCTGTATTTTGTAAATGTTCTATAATGAACATGTATTAGCTCTGTAATTACTATTCACCAAAAATATTAACCACATAAAGGAGAAAAACATTTCCTGGTGTTTTTAATTTTCTTGAATACATTTCCTTCATTTAAATGACATTAATTATAAAAATTCAGTAAATTGCAATACCTGATTATAACTGATACTATGTCAGAAGTTTTATGAAGCCATATATCACTACTCCTATGCCTGACCATGTTCTTAAGCCAATTGACGAGACAAATCAAACTGCAAAATGAAAATCAAAATCTCATCTTTGGCCAGACTTTGTGGCTCATGCCTGTGATTCCAGCACTTTGGGAGGCCAAAGGAAGAGGATCCCTTGAGCCTAGGAATTCGAGACCAGCCTGGGCAACCTAGCAAGACCATTTCTCTGCAATAATTATAAAATTAGCTGGGGTGTGGTGGTTTATACGTTTGGTCCCAGCTACTTGGGAGGCTGAGTTGGGAGAATTGCTTGAGCCAGGGTGGTAGGGGCTGCAGTGAGCTCTGATCTCACCACTGCCCTCTAGCCTTGGTGACAGAGTGAAAACCTGTCTCAAAAAATAAATAAATAAATAAAACACACAACCATATATTCATTAGTATTTATGGCTAAGTTGGAGGAAGTGGCTTAGGAAACAGTGGGCTTCCTGTTACTGAACGCTCTAATCAGATCCCATCAGAGAGACTTCTACACTCAATGAACTGGCATAGGCAGACACCTTCAGTTTTCCCCTAATGTTTTAGCTTCTTGTAACTTGTTGGTTCCCAAAGAGAAGAAAGAGAATGGGGATGTGTGGCGGCCTCTCCTCCCAGATGCGGCAAATGCTGAGAAATACTCCACAGTAATAATAAATAATTCAGTTTTTAAGTGAACCAATCAGAATTCTATCACAGACACCAGATCTACCTCATATCCTTGTAACTAAGATCTGCCTCATATCCTTTGTTATATCTCTGCCAAATTTTGGTATCAGGATGATGCCAGCCTAATAAAATGAGTTAGAGAGAAGTCCTTCCTTTTCAATTGTTTGGAATAGTTTCAGAAGAAATGGTACCAGCTTGTCTTTGTACCTCTGATAGAATTCAGCTGTAAATCCATATGATTCCTCAAGGACCTAGAAATAGAATTTCCATTTGACCTGGCAATCCCATTACTGGGTATATATCCAAAGGATTATAAATCATTCTATTGTAAGGACACATGCACATGAATGTTCATTGCAGTACTGTTTACAATAGCAAAGACTTGGAACCAACCCACATGCCCATGGATGATAGACTGGACAGGGAAAATGTGGCATATATACACCATGGAATACTATGCAGCCATGAGAAACGATGAGTTCAAGTCCTTTGTAGGGACATGGATGAACCTGGAAACCACCATTCTCAGCAAACTGACACAAGAACAGAAAATCAAACACTGCATGTTCTCACTCATAGGTGGGTGTCAAACAATGAGAACACATGGACACAGGGAGGGGAGCATCACACACTGGGGTCTATGAGCGGGGAACTCACGGAGGGACAGCAGGAGGTGGGAAGTTCGGGAGGGATAACATGGAGAGAAATGCCAGATATAGCTGATGAGGAGGAAGGCAGCAAACTACATTGCCATGTATGTACCTATGCAACACTCTTGCATGTTCTTCACATGTACACCTAAAATGCAATAAAATATATATATATTTTTAAAAAAAGAACAAAAGAAAACAATGGCAATAACCAATGTTGTACTTGAAATGCCTTAATTGCTTAACTATGAAAATGAAATGAAGTAAAATGAAAATAAAGAAAAATACTTGGGCCAAAAATTGGAAAAGGGAGATAAAAATAGAAACAGAGGTATAATTTTTAAATCTGAGCAAACATTATTTGTGATTTGACACATTTTAATTTGAAAATCTAGGTTAACAAGGAAGGATACAGTTATACCCCAGAAAAAGATGCTGCATATGAAATATGAACTTCAGTTATATTTATTATTCTTTTAAAAGAATACTGATAATCTATAGCATAGCTAGAGGACTGCACCCAGGATAGTGAGGCATCTGAAATTCAGGTCACATAACTTAGGGAAAACGTTCTGATTGTCATCATAACCATCTCAAACATCTGTGAACCAGGACTAGACTTACTCTATGACACGAGATAGAATGCATGAAAAGCAGAGGCAAACATCAGCTGAAATGAGAGGAATAATAGTAAGGACTGAGTGTGGTGGGAATATACATTTTCTAAGGTCTTTGATGCCCAGTCAGTGGAGGCTGCTTTCCCTTAGAGATACTGATGAAGAAAATTCTGGACCAGACGATCACCAAAGTACTTCTCTCTCAAATCTTATGTATTCCCACGATAAATGTGAAACTTGGGCCGGGCGCGGTGGCTCAAGCCTGTAATCCCAGCACTTTGGGATCACGAGGTCAAGTGATCGAGACCATCCTGGTCAACATGGTGAAACCCCGTCTCTACTAAAAATTACAAAAAATTAGCTGGGCATGGTAGCGCGTGCCTGTAATCCCAGCTACTCAGGAGGCTGAGGCAGGAGAATTGCCTGAACCCAGGAGGCGGAGGTTGCGGTGAGCCGAGATCGCGCCATTGCACGCCAGCCTGGGTAAGAAGAGCGAAACTCTGTCTCAATTAAAAAAAAAAATGTGAAACTTGGTAGCTTCCTCTTCATAATAAATTCAGTCTGGAAAGCCATGTAGATACCTTTAGCCTGAGATGGGACAGGGTGGTTGAATATTCTTTTCCTTTCCATTACATAGCATAACTTCTATGTTACATAGTGTAACTCCTACGTTATGTAAGAAGTGATTCAAAGGAACGGTTAGAAAAGCCATCCCAAAATGCCTGTTTTGAAGAATTTGAAAGAAATAAAATCCTGTCAGTTATGCAAAGCTTATTTGATATGAATTCTACATTGTATGTATTTTCACATTTTGTACTTCTTTTATACTATTTACAAGATACAAATAAAACCCCCATGAAATAGAACAGGAAAATTACATTATCTCTACTCTCCATATATTAGAATTTATATTCAGAGAAGAGTCAAAGTTTTCATCATGACCTAATCAGTGTCCAGTTTTAAATCATCTAATTGCCAGTATGGTACGGTTTTCCCTGCCATGTCATACCACTTGATCTAAGCCACCTTCAGGCCTGGACACCTCATTTTAAGTTGGACATAACCTTAAACAAAGAGCGCAATCAGATTTTGAAACTATACATCCAGAGGAAGAACAGAAAGAGGAGGAGAGTTATGTTTTATTGACAGGTATTTTATAATTTCAATGTCTTCAGGAAGAAAATATTGTTATCTCTGTTTTACATAGAACATTAAGGCCCCAAGTGTCAAATAACTCATCCAAGGCTGCACAGTTAGGTAGATAAATAGACTAGATCATCTCATAACTTTCATAATTAGTGACACAATGGGTCTAATGGTGTCCATACCGTTAGAAAGTGTTCTGATTATAAACTCTTAAGAGAAAACCCAGACTTTCCAATCAGTTTCCGAATAGCCAGCTGTACATCTTTGTTCCTGAGGCTGTATACCATGGGATTTAAAAGCGGGGTGATGATGGTATAGGTCACTGTCACCAGCCTATCTTTGCCTGATGTAAATTTGGCTGAGGGTCGCAAGTAGACAAAGGAAGCACAACCATAATGGACAATGACTACAATGAGATGGGAAGCACAGGTGGAGAAGGCTTTTTGCTTGCCTTCAGCTGATGGAATCTTCAGGATGGTGCGGACAATGAAGCCATAAGAAATGCAGATAAATATCAAGGGCACAGCAAGCACCAAGACCCCAAAGATGAAGATGACCAGTTCATTGATGTAGCTGTCAGCACAGGCAAGACGGATAACTGGTGAAATATCACAAAAGTAGTGGTTGACCTTGTTGGAGCCGCAGAAAGGGAGGCTAAAGACCAAGGTTGTTCCCACCAGAGATATTAGGAAGCCACTAATAATACAAGTTGCTGCCAGTTGTCCACATACTCTCCAGCTCATGAGAACAGCGTAGTGCAAAGGCTGGCAGATGGCAGCATAACGGTCATAACCCATCACTCCCAAAAGCAGGCAGTTAGTGACAGCAAAACCAAGGAAGAAGAACATCTGGGTGGCACAGCTCACAAAAGAGAGTGTCCTGAGTACAGAGAATAGGTTGATAAGCATCTTGGGCAGGATAACGATTGTGTAGAAGATTTCAGAGATAGAAAGAATACCTAGGAAGAAGTACATGGGTGTGTGGAGGCTGTGATCCAAGTGAATGACTGATATGATGATGATGTTTCCACTCAGGATAATCAAATAGAGGCAGAGAAAGACCACGAAGAGGACAAGCTGCAATTCCCCAAGGCTGGAGAAGCCCAGCAGTAGGAACTCAGTGACAGAAGAGGAATTGGCCATGATGAGTTGATCCCATGGAATAAGGTCAATATGATCGGGTCCAGAGATCTTCGGAACTTAAAATTCAGGGAGACTTACCCTCATAAAGTAGACATGTCAGTCTTGTTTGAATGAGAAACAACAAGTATGGAAGAGAAAAAAGAATTGTAAATTTTACCAGAAGCTCTTATACATTGATATGCATTCAAACTGCTATTTTTCTGCTGCTGATTTTAGCAGTGAATCTGGGGACAAACGTTCACATGAAGTGTACAGTCATTTGCTCAAATAAAGCCTATTCATCAGGTCCCCTACTTGGAGACTTATATAGATACCATCTAATTTTTTAATATGGTAGTTCCTCCTTATCCAAAGTATTGCTTTTACTGGTTTCTAGTACCCAGGTCAGTTTCAAGTACCCAGGTCAACTGCAATCCATAAGTATTAAATGGAAAAGTTCAGAAATAAACAATTCATAAGTTTGAAGTTGTGTCTCCTTCTGTGTATCATGTTGAAAGTTCACACTGTCTTGTTCCTTCCCGCCCTGGACAAGGATCATTCCTTTGCCCAATGTATCCAGACCATATATGTTATTATCCATGAGTCACTCAGAAGCCATCCAGTTATCAGATCAACTGTCATGATATCACCAAGCGTGTGCTCAAGTAACCTTTATTTTCCTTAATAATGGCTCCAAAGTGCAAGAGTAGTGATGCTGATATGTTACTATTGCTGTATTTTATTATTAGTTATTGTTAATATCTTGCTATGCCTAATTTATAAATGAAGCTTTATCATAGGCCTGTGTTATAGAAAAACATCATAGTATATTTAGCGTTCAGTACGTTCCATGGTTCCAGACATCCACTGGAGTCTTGGAACATATTCCCTGCAGATTAGAGAGGATTCTTGTAATCTAATTTTATAAAATCCTTTATCTACATGAATTCTTTCCAAGGGTCACAGTTTTATTCTGATTACTGATATATACATCAGTAAGTGAGAGCATAAGGAAGCAATAGCACCTATGTCCGATGATTCGCCTTTCTACACTTGTTTTTAATACCTTCCCCATCTAGAGAAACAGCCATTGATCTCTGCATTACTTAAAGAATGCAGTTCCCTTTTACAAGTAGTGGTATAACCAATTTTTATGCATTCCTTTTGTTAAAAATAAATTGGTTTTAAAGTATTGCTATTGTTTTAGGACTAGCTTCATGATTACTCTACAGACTCTTACAGGATTATAGGCCTGATTTCTCCTTACAGAAAAGACATGGCTAGAGTCATTTCATTTTGCTTCACCATTCACTTGTTGCCCATTGTTTTATGTACTACCCTTGAGGTACCTGATGTGGAGGCCCCAAAGACTGTCATTCCAACAAGCTGTCTCTAAATTTCTGAATAAGGAAGTTCAGATACCTTTCCTGAGGCCCCAACATATTTATCATTGCTGGTACTGAATTACATACACTTTAATCAAAACATTCTTATTTTCTCCTACCTCTTGCCTAAATGTGTTCTTTTATCTAGATTCTGTATGTCAGTAAATAGTTTCTGTATCTCAATAAATAAAATGCTCCTAAGCCATCTAAGCCGTACATTTCTAACGTATGTTTAAACTCACCATTTTTCTAATCCTCCACATTCAATATATTTTTGTTCTGAAGCACTTTTAGGATTCGTTCTTATTCTTACTGTTTTGCAAGAAATTATCCCTTGCCTGGACTATAGTATTATAAGTGAACTGCCCGGATTCTCTCTTACACTCTGAGCAATCTTCAAATCCTATAATATTACCAAAACAACTGACTCTCAGTTATCTATAAAATATTCTAGGTGTTTCACACTCTTCCCCCTTCTACCTTTCACTCATAACTGCCATTATATATTCCTTCATATGTACTTCAGCAGTGAGAACTTTTACACAACCAAGTCATTTTTCACACTATTTTCTGTGTCTAGAAATAGTCTCTGCCTTATATGTGTTGTTTCCTTCTTTTTAATTTTCATTTAAAATGACTTTATTCATAGAATCCTTCCTACTGCTTCCTAATCATGCTGCACCACGTTTTGTGGATTTCCTTAGTAATCACTAGAATCTTACTTGCTTACACTACTATTGTAAGATTGTCTTTGACTCTACGAACTATAACTTACCAGATAACAGAAACTGCATCTCTAACACATACAATGATGCCCAACATATACTAAGTGCTTGAAAACTTGTTGAAAAAAAATTAATGACCAGTAATATAACTTTTTCCTCTAAATAATTTCAAAACTCTCAAGTAGATGACATTTAATTCCAGGGATTTTCTAAACTTGTCACCTTAATATTAATCTAGCCTCTAATATTAATACTCTGCTTCAACATTTTGGGATGAAAAATCTCTCTGACATTATTCTCTGACTGTATAACAAAAGATCCCATAAAAATGTTGCTATCTTATTTATTATTTCTGATGATCAAATAGTCTCCTCCATTATCTTACTAGCTAAACTTTAAATTTTAATTTTAGAAATACCTGATTTGGGGGCTTGAAGTCCTTTATAAATAACTAAATTGCTGTCAATATTTGCTGTTTTGCTTAGGCAAATGTTTAATAAAATTTTGAAATGGGACTAGAACCAAGAATTTTATTTTCCATCTCTCTTTATTTCTGAATTGCCTTATATCTAAACTTTATAAATAAAGAGTATACACCATTCATTTGACCAGCACAGAGTCCTCCCTAACATTTTTCCTGAGACATCATCTATGCCTTTCCACTTTCCAAATATCCTTTCTTGGAGTGTTTTATCATTTACAGGCTCATCCCAGTATTAATAGTCACAAAGTATGCAGGGAAAGTTGGTGTAACTGAAAGAAAAGAAAGGTTGCATTACTCAATATCTACTCTATAACTCCTACCCCATCAACCTTCTGTTCTTTCAAACTCATCCTTAAAACCTATGTGGAAACTAAGAGTTAAAAATAAAACTTACTATGGAAATCTTTGACTTCACAACTCAGTCTGGGATACTGCTTAAAATAACTGGTAAATAGGAGATAGTGACCTGAGTTTGAAAGGGAAGGCATTACATGTTGAAAGAAAAGCTTAGAAAAATGAGAAAGGGGGGAAAAAGAAAAAAAACAGAATAATTAGACCTTCTTAACAAGTAGAAATAGTGAATTGATTTTTTCACATTATGTTGCTCAGTAACTCTTTATCACCTATAGGGTAAGGGCGGAATTCCTGAAGCTGAATCATAGGACGAGTGATCCTCTGTCCACATATATTTATAATCTCATCCTCTAAGTTTTCATCACACAGGAATTGTACTAAAATACTTAGAGTTTCCTTTATATGCCTTTGTGTCTTAATATTCTACTGAGAGAGAGGGAGAGAGGGAGGGAGGGAGGAAGGGAGGGAGGGGGAGAGAGAGAGAGAGAGAGAGAGAGATCTCAGCCTCCAATATCATTTCTCCTTCAGGTATGGCCCACTCATTCCTCACATTTTTAAAATCATCAATTATTGAACTTTCTTCAATATGTCTAGGGAGAGTATGCTTTTTCCTTCTTAGTAATTTAAAGCTTGTCTAGTTTGGTCTTTATCAAAATACTCAACTTATTATATCTAATTTTTTTTCTTATTGGTGTCTTCAATAGATTTAAGAGTCTCAAGGATAAACGCCTCATTTATCCCCTTTGTATCCCCAACTTTATCCAATATTTAAATAATTGAGATATAATTGATGAATAAATGCCTATTAATGAATTAATAATAATCCCAATTAGTTTATTTTGTAGTAACTTGGTTTCCCTAAGGGGCACTACCATGTGCCTCTTAAGTGAGAAACACTTCTGTGTTCCTCATACATTGTATGTTTACTGTAATTTTTTCGTTCTTCCTTTCTAAGATTAATATTGCCCCCACTCTATGAAATAATCAAGAGTTATACTGGGTCTCTGCCTTTGTCTTGGTCTCAATCTTTATCCTTATTTTTTTTTTCCATTATTCGACTTTTCTTTCTGTCATTTGATGGCAATTTCTATTTTTCATTACTAATAACTAGAAGTAAACAGATCACTAGCTCATGGGAAAAACTCAACAATTTTTAAATTGGACATATAAATAAGTGACTGTCACTGGTATTCTAAATAAAAAAAACAAAGTCTCTAAATAAACATTAAAATTTAACATTTGTTCAAATCAAGTTCTAGTACCTGTTTTATTCATTCTCAGGCACCTCCTAGAAACTTCCGTGAAAGTCTGTAGGGGAAATTTGCCAAAATTGTCTTCCCTGTCATGATGCCTCAGGGTTCTTCTTCATCTTTCAGGAACTCCCAAGACCAAAATAAGAGAATAGCATTACTCCACAAAAAAATGTTACCTGTGTGCCCTTCCTTCATGGGTACTTTAGGTAGTGCCTCACTGGGTATCATCAATGGTCTTTCCTTTTTACATTAGCCATGGACTCAATGCCTTGGTTGGTAATTGAGCTCTCCACCTCCACAGGGAGCTAATTACCACATTGTGCCCAATACTTGTCCATAATTTTTCTAATTAACAAGTGGAACAATGATAATACACTATGAGAATTCACTGGCCAAAGAAAGAGCCTTATTATTCATGGGGATTAGTTGACTTAGAAATTCTCTAAAGAGTCAGAGATGTGGAGGTTCTCCAGGCATCATTTGTTAAAATATACATCAATGAAACCATCTTCTTTGAATTTCCCTACGTAGTGCCTCTAGAGTTTCATTCTGCAATTGAAGAAAAGTATTCTTTTTTAAGCCGCTACACCTTCCTATTTCTGAAAGCTAGAATAAAGGAAGATGTGAAGAATAGAGGACAGAATATTAGAATGCCAGAATCTTTCAGGTACATTAGAAACAGGTTTGCTTCTGGAATATAATGTTAATTTGGTAAATATTTCCTCAGTATATGAATACAGTTTGGGTTATGAAGAAAAATGTGACAGTGGCTTCATATAGTTTTGCACAAAGGCCATCAGCTATCTCCTCATTTCAGCTCACATATCAGTTCTTTCTGACAGTGAGTGCATCCGCTTGTGCTGGAAATGGGGCAAATGCTAGACACACATGGATGTCTCTCTGAGGTGCTCACGTGAACTGCTCTGGTGTAAGTCACGTCCTGCATGTTCTTGAGGGAATGTATTCTATTCCCGGGTCCACAAGGGGGCGTAGTTTCTAAGGCAAGAATTTCCCAGCGCCATATCTCCCCTTCACAGTTGGGATCTTAAGGGTCTTTGTTTAAACTTTGGCACACACAGGAAGTATCAAAGATCAGTCACTTCAGCGGAAGTTTAAAGGAACTCCTTTCATAAGCCAGGGGCCTTGGTTGAGGTGGGAATTCCTCCCAGTTTAAAAGTCCCTGTACCCCACATCCAGGCGGACTCCAGATCTGGATCCCCTTCCACAATCTTGTGGAAGCTTCTCTCACATCTTTTTTTCTCTCCTTTTTCTCTTTCTCTGTCTAAATAAATCACTTTCTGCAAAACTCTTTGGGGTCTGATATTTACTTAATCACTCACCGTGCCCAGCGTGGTCCCCTCTCCCATTCTTGGGTGAATGAGAGACCAAGAGCCTGGAAGAACATCCTCTCTGGGGAGCTGAGACTCCCCCGCTCCCTGGAATTCAGAATTCGGTTACATTCTCACTTATAAGTTGGAGCTGAACAGTGAGAATACATGGACACAGGGAGGGGAACAACACATCCTGGGGCCTATGGTGGGAGGCAGGGAAAGGGAGAGTATCAGGATAAATAGCCAATGCAGCTGGGCTTAATACCTAGGTGATGAGCTGATAGGTGCAGCAAACCACCACAGCACGTTTATACTTATGTAACAAAACTGCACGTCCTGCACATGCATCCAAGAACTTCAATTTTTTTTTTTTAAATGCTTCCAGACGACAAAGTAAAGAAAAAGCCCAGCTGATTAACCCAGACAGAAACTTTTGGTGGCTTCTTCCTTCCCCTGAATCCGATGGGATGAGTGACTACTTTGACAAATGCATACAAAATATTACTGTATACCTAATGAATATGCACAATTACTATTGATCAACTAAAAAGCACATAATTTTTTTAAGTTTCTGAGAATTTAGAGAAAACAAAGATACAAATCTTGTTCAGTTTGCAAATAAAGATGTTTTTCATGCACAGTCTCTCTAAACAAAGACAAGGTACAAAATGGCTTCAAGGAAGAAATCAAATCCAAGATGCTACCAGGAAACTAATGTCTCAGGGTAAACATCTTAAGAATGTAACTGTAGTACCTTTTGTTAGAACTCAGAAATATTTTGGGCTGTATCTACCAAGAGTTATAAATATCCTAAGGGTATGAATCCTTAAAGTTTAACAATAAGCCTTCTTTTTTATTTTTAGATAATTTCTTTTTGTTAATTTTTTTTTATTATTGTACTTCAAGCTCTGGGGTACATGTGTACATCCTGCAGGGTTGTTGCATAGGTACACACATGCCGTGGTGGTTTGCTGTTTCTCTCCCTTCGTCACCTACATCAGGCATTTCTCCCTGTGTTTTCCCTCCCCATCATCCCCTCCCCCTCCTATCCCTTCTTTACACCCCTCCCTGCTACCTACTCCAGTGTGTGATGTTCCACTCCCTGTGTTTAAGGTGGTTTTTTCCAGTTCTTTTCTTTTTAAGAATGTTAGGGGAATTGCCATGTAGCAATTATTAATACTATTACCTCACAAGTGACCCATAATAAAGAAATGAATATGGACGTGAGTTTTATCTCATGGAATTAATTTATAAATTGAAACATAGGAAACCCACACAGTTTTAAAAAGGCATTCTATCAACACACGCTAAAGACTACAGAGCCAACACAATAGACCTTTGAACCCTCAACTTCTTACATGGAGGTATCAGACTGAGAAATGACATGTCTGCAAATTGTAGCTATCTATGTCTTATGGATAAAAAAGAATGATCAGAAAGTGGGGGAAATGACATCACAGGTTATATACAAAAGTCATGGAATTCATTCCCAGGAAACAGGACTGGCAACATGTGTCCAGATGAATTTGAGAATTTCTATGGACCAATGACTGTGATTTGTCTAATTTCTTCCTTTTTCCAAGGGAAATAGCCATTGCTATTATTCTATGCCCATCACATCATTGTCTTTTTGGATGTCAAAAGCAGCCAGCCAGCTGGTGTTATGCCTTAAAAGTCTAGCAGCTTCCTCTTTCTCTATCTTGGAACATTTAGTCTTTGAAACTAGTCATGATGTGATGAGAAAGTTTATGGAACCCCATGGAAAGAGCCACATGGAGAGAAACTGACTCTTACAAACTATAGCCTTAACTCAGCTCCACCACAAACCAACACCATTTTGCCAGCCATGTAAATGAGCTAAATGGAAGTGGGTCCTTCAGTTCTAGTCAGGCAGCTCAGTTGACATTGTATGGAATTGGGACAAGCCAATCTTATAAGCCCTCTCCCATGTAGAGATTAATGAGCAAAATAAATTATCCTTATTATTTTTGATTACAGTTTTGGGGGACATAAATGTTGCTACACTTTCATGTGTAGTTTCAGATGTTTGACTTAGCTAAGCCAAGCATTCATTTATTCAATTAAAGTTAAGAGACATGTATTAGTTGTATCATGAATGTCAGGGCTATAGAAGACATTTAGGAAGAGTTAATATACAGGTATAATAAATTACTTCCCTTCACATTGCTGATTGTCCAGCAGAGAGAATAATATACATACATAATCAGCTCAATATATTAGAGCTCAATAGGAAGTATAAGTAAAGCTTACATTGCTCTGGTGTTTTGAAGCATGGAAATCAGGCAATGCTTCATGAAATAGGTGAAAATTAAAAAATCTTTGATGGTGGACATTGGACAAAGAAGATGATAATCTTTTCAAGTAAGAAAGTCTTTGGTTCTTAGGCCAGCACAGGACCATTCTCCGTAAGGATCACACCTTATAAGCCCTAAGTAAGGGAATGTGATGCACAGTATGGTAAATTTAGGTTTATCTTCTACTGCCTTTTCATTTAATGATGGCCAAACAAGGCCATTTTGTCATTGCAAATTATTTTTTCTGTAGAAGTATTACTCTACTATTTATTATTATAATCCCTTTTAAACATAATTTTAAGTCTTTCATGTTTCTCCTAATAAAAAAGGAATTCAAGAGACCTATCTGCCGGGATAATAGAAAACTAGATCTGTAAAGTAAGATAGAAAAAAGCTTTTAATCGCACTTATGTCAGCATGCTGTATAAAAGATTCTAGACATCAGTGTTAAACACAAAAATCAGCTACTTTTTATGAAAGTTGACCAAGATGTTAAGTGTAGTTTATTTCTGAAACTTCCTGCTTAGTTGTCCTTCTTTTTCACAGTGTCGAATTTAGTTTTTCTAATGTATACATAATCTATAGTTCAAAACCTCAAATTCTAGATCACATAGTAGCTACTAAATTTTTAGTGAATATGATATAAAATAGCACTACTTTAGTTAATTATGCTATTTGACCAGGATAGCCTCACTGCTTACTTTTTTATAAAATTTCTGAAATTTGATATTAAAAAGGAAATTAAATCCATTAAAGAGATCTAGAAGGTAACAGTGGGATGTCTATTACTTTATCTTGCCATTATAGTAAAATTATAAAACATGTAAACTCTGTGACAGGAGGATATAAATAATCTTTCAATCAGGTAAAAAAAAGTTACAACAAATTGTTAAAAGTAAAAAGATAAAATGATGAAAGCAAATTTAAATGGATTATGTGACTTTGGCCACGAACAAGGATTCCCATGAACTGGATTTAGGGATGGACTTTGTATATGATGTAAACTCCTTAGATTGTAAGCAAGTTTTTTTTTCCCTGTATTTGTGTATGAGGAGAGTTTCGTGTATTAGATACGCAGCTTTCAACAGGTTCTCAAAAAAACCACGTGCTGCGAAATGGGATCTAGAGTGATTAAGGTGATTATTCACAGCTGTACCAGTGGTCAGGCCAAATATTTGACTCTGTACAGACGGTAACTTTATGAACTCGATATTTACCAATAAACACCATCATAGCATCTTGTTCTATAGGAAAAATGGGCAGCAATGTCATAAAAGGCAGTTTTTCTTAGTTTCAGCTGAGGCACAAAATACAATCTGCAAACTACTCAAAAAATAAAAGTTTGAGAAAAAAGGGGAGGAAATATAATCTTTGAAGGAAGCTCTTGGATTTCTTAATATTTTCTCTCTCCTCAAGAGTAGAAAACTGCTTCAAGATATTGATACACATCTGCTGGAGATAAAGGAAGATGGTGGATTGATATCTGAGCTCACCTGAGAAACCTGAATGTATTAATGGCCTGAAATACCAGTACACAGAGAGAGGTGTCTGCACTTCAACTGACTATGGGTAGCAAGGATTGTCAGAATTTTCTTTTGGATCATATATTGACCATGTAGGAGACATAGTCGTTGTGGAATCACTTGAAAATAACTTTTTGTCCAAAAAGACCTTTAGAAAACAGGTGACCCACGTGAGTGTTGAAATCTCAGAATTAAGAGAAAAATTCACAAGCTGTCAGCTAGAGGTAGATTCAACCATATCACAAGAAATGTGGTAGAAGTCCTCAGTATGAAATTATGTCAGCAGCTATGAAGGCTCCTTGCATGAGAAAGACTCAGTGTGCAACATCTGAAAGCACTATTGCCAGAGCATGGCAGCGGCAATCAAGTAAGAGGTTCCTCTCCCCAGTGTAATGCTTGAGGGGTCAGTCATTGAAATAAGTAGAGAGAAAAGTGTTTGCTGAGAGAGCTAATACATTAAGTCAGCCTTCATTGGTCCTAAAGCAGGCTTCCCAATTCAAAAGTCAACACCCAGAAAAGGCAGAAATTTTAGCTTTAAATTAATTTTAAATTTTCAGTTATCGCAGTGGACTGGGCTTTTAAATTTGAAGAGCTTTTTGAGATTCCATGCGTGAAAAAGATTAGCCTTTGGATTGGATTTAAAGAGACTATAAGGAGAATAACATATTTTATGATATGCATCTTAAAGACCCGTATTATTTCAATGAATTTGTTACCATTAAAATATGCATGTGATAAAAAGGCATTATTTATTGAGAAATCTAAAACATAATAATATTTCAATTTTATAGTTTTAGAGAACCTTTCTTGCCTAACACTTTTCTGATAGCAAGTTGGACATCCTTGTTTCTGAGGCTATATACCATGGGGTTTAGTAATGGAGTAACAATAGTGTATGTCACCGTCACCAGCCTGTCTTTGTTGGACACATAGTTTGCTGTAGGCCTCAGGTAGATGAAGGAAGCACAGCCATAATGAACAATAACAACAGTGAGGTGAGCGGCGCAGGTGGAAAACGCTTTCCGTCTGCCCTCAGCTGAGGGAATCTTCAGGATCGTCCTCAGAATGCAGATATAAGAAACACAGATAAACAGAAAGGGAACCACAAGTACAAGAACCCCACAAATGAATATCACAAATTCATTAACATCTGTGTTGGTACAAGCCAGACGAATGACTGGTGAGATGTCACAGAAGTAATGATTGACCTTGTTGGCGCTACAGAAAGGGATGCTGAAAACTAAATTTACCACTGTAAGGGAGGCCAGGAAGCCTCCAATTGCACAGGCAGCTGCCAGTTTTCCACACACCTGCCAGCCCATAAGAATAGGGTAATGCAGAGGGTGACAAATGGCAGCATAGCGATCATAACCCATCACACCCAATAGCAGGCAGTTGGTAATGGCAAAACCAAGGAAGAAGAACATTTGAAGGGCACAACAGGTAAAGGAGATTGTCCTGGCCACAGAAAGTAGATTGATGAGCATCTTGGGTAGAATGACAAAGGTGTAGAAGGTCTCAGACGTTGAGAGAATGCCGAGGAAGAAGTACATTGGTGTGTGTAGGCTTTTATCCAGGTGGATGACACTGATAATGGTGATATTGCCACTAAGAATGACCAGATACAGAAAAAGAAAAACCACAAAGAGGGCCAGCTGAATTTCACCAAGGCTGGAAAAACCCAGCAACAGGAATTCAGTGACCGTGGTGAGGTTTTCTGTCAGTATCTGCAAAGAGGGAAAGAAGTAAAACATATTTAGATATATGAATATAAGAAATTGGGTCATGCAGTCCTGTATTCCTTTCTGGACCTGACGAAGAAGAATCTTGCCTTTTCCTCACCTCTTCCAGTTCCTAGTGACCTCTCATGTTCATTGTTTCATGGTCCCCTTCTTCCATCTTCAAAGTCAACAAAGTTACATCTCCTTCTCTGACTTTCTGATTCTCTCTCTTAATTTTAAGAAGGCTTATGATTACTTTGGGCCCACAGGATAATATCTCTATGGTCAGTTGACTTTTCCTTCTGCACCCTCTATTCCTCTTGTCTGTGTAATCTAACATATTCTCAGGTTCCAGTGATTAAGACATAGACATCTTTGGGGGCTCATTATTTGGACTACTACCACAAGCAACAAACACTCTAAAAAATGATATTAAGAAAACAATTCAATTCACAATATAATAAAAAAAAAAGCTTAGTGTTAGAGTTAGCCAAAAAAGTGCAAGACACATACACAGAAAACTTTCAAACATTGTTGAGATAAATTATAAAACATATGAGTAAATGAAGTATACCCATGTTTATGAGTGTAAAGACTTAATAAAATATAGAGCAATTCTGATCAAATTGGTCTATGTAGTCAACGTAATTCTTAACAAATCCCAGCAGGCTTTTCTTCTAAAGGTTGACAAGATGATTATAAAATGTATATGAAAAGGAATCAGAATTCCCCAAATGAGTCTAGTTTAATCACTAAAGAGAGGCCTTTGGAGCGTTGAGATCCATTTAACAGTCACCATTTTTGTCCTATTCTAGGATCTTTAAGTGTTTCTGGAACACATCACAGCTCTTCCATTTGTTGGTAAAAATAATTATAAGTTAATTATTCGCATTCTCAGGCTGACAACTTAAAGTTTACCACTCTAGTAATGCCTAGTTATATTTGTAACCATAATTAAAATTACCACAAACACATTTTACAAAAGAATATATTATATACCTAAACAGAAGGTTGGGTTCAATATAGATGGATTGAATTAGGTTAATATCACCTATTCCTCACTTTGAACAATAATATAGACATTCAAGAAAAATGAGCAAACAGATTTTGACTGATTATCTGTATTTGTATGCAGAATAAATATTTTCTGAAGTGACCAGAATTATCCTTATCACCTTCCTTCTTTCTTTACCCATCATCACCTTCATCTGTAGACACACATGAAGTCCAGCATGTCCTAAATAAACATGGTCTGTTGTAGAGTCATTGAATTCTGATATATACACTGCTTTTAGAAAAAACTGTGTGTAGGGCTCATGAAAAATGAAAAGCAATGAAAATTGCGATTTGAAACTTACAATAGATTTTTTTTGTAGTAAAAAGTCAAAGCAACATAGTATACTATTAATTTTCTACTAACAATTAAAACAGTATAAAAGAAGATAAGAATCCTTTTTAGTGAGGTAGAATCTCATTAAATAAAATTAGCTTATTTAAAATGTATTCTAATCACTGTACCTAAACCTCCCCTCAGGTTCTAACAAGTAGAAATAAGAATCTCTTCACTCTGTCAATAGTTTCTTTTGCTTTGCAGAAGCTCTTCAGTTTAATTAGCTCCCACTTAGGAATTTTGGTTTCTGCTGCAATTGCTTTTAGGGACTTAACCAAAAATTCTTTGCCAAAGCTGATATTGAGAATAGTGTTTCCCAGGTTTTCATCTAGGATTTTTAGAGTTTGAGAGTTTACATTTAAATTTTTAATCCACTTGGAGTTAATTTTTGTATATGGTGAAGAGTGAGGATCCAGTTTTCCTCTTCTGCAGATGGCTAACCAGTGATCCCCACACCATTTACTGATAGGAAGTCTTTTTTCTATTGTTTGTTTTTGTCAGCCTTGTTGAAGACCACATGGTTGTAGGTGTGCAGCTTTCTTTCTGAGCTTTTTTTAAAAATTATGTTCCCTTGGCCTATATTCCTGTTTATGCACCAGAACTCTGCTGTTTTAGTTGCTGTAACATCATAGTATGATTTGAAGTTGGTTACTATGGTGCCTCTCTGGCTTTGTTCTTTTTGTTTAGGTTTACTTGGGCTATTTGAGCCCTTTTTTTGTTTCATATGAATTTTGTGATAGTTTTGCTAATTCTGATAATATTACGTTGGTAGTTTGATAGAAATAGCATTGAATCTGTAAATTGCTTTAGACAGTATGGCCATTTTAACAATATTGATTAATCCAATTCATGAGCATGGAATGCTTTTTCATTTACTTGTGTGATCTGATTTCTTTGAGCAGTGTTTTGTAGTTCTCCTTGCAGAGACCTTTCACCTCTTTTATTAGGTGTATTTCTAGATATTCCATTTTCTTTGTGGTTATTGAAATGTAATTGTGTTCTTGATTTGACTGTCAGCCTGGACATTATTGATGTGTAGAAGTACCACTGATTTTTTAAGATTGATTTTGTATCTTAAAATTTAACTGAAGTCATTTATCAGTTCTAGGAGCTTTTTGGCAAAGTCTTTAAAATTTTCTAGATATGGAATAATGTCAACAATGAAGACAAAGAGTTTGGCATTTTTTTTTCCTATTTGGATGTCTTTTATTTCTTTTGCCTTGAATATGAGTGGTAAGAATGGGTATCCTTGTGTTGTTTCAGTTCTCAAGAATAGTTCCAGCTTTTGCTTGTTCAATATGATGTTGGCTGTGGATTTGTCATATATGACTCTTATTATTTTGAGATATGTTCCTTCAAAGCCTAGTCTGTTGAGGGTTTTTATCATGAGGGGATGTTAGATGTTATTGAAAGATTTTCTGCATCTACTGAGATGACTTTATTTCTAAATTATTTATGTCATGAATTACATTTATTGATTTTCACATATTGAACTAAACAACCTACAGAATGAAAGAAAATATTCACAAACTATGTTCCAAATGCCTAATATTCAGAATCTACAAGAAACTTAAACAAATCAAGCAAAAACCAATAAACCCCATTTTAAAATGTGCAAAGGATATGAACAGACACTTCTCAAAATAAGACATACAAGCAGCCGAGAAACTTATGAAAAATGATCATCATCACCAGTCATCAGAGAAATGCAAATCAAAACCACAAAATACTATTTCACACCAGTCAGATGCTATGAAATAAAAGACTTGTATCTATACATTGAAATGATTCATCACCCTTTCATCTTAGTCGTATTCATGACTAGCCAAGTGCTCATAAACATTCATCAAAAACAGTAAACACTAAAATGTATCCTACACATTTCTCTTATGTATTTGAAGAAGCATTAAATAAAACATTAATTTTTTAAGTTTAATTGTTTAAAATTTTTAATTTAATTTTTAAAATATATAGAAACCCTATCTGTTATGTTTGAGTAAAACCACTGACCAGTAACAATAAAAATAAAATCATATAGAAATCATATTTTTGAAAGCTCTCCCATATGAATATTTGAAAATACCATTAAGTGATGGTCAAAGGGAAAATACAATGTAAAATAAAATAAGTTCTAGAAAATAATGTCAGGTATAGATATTAGACTATATGGACTAAATTTAAAGCAGTGATCAGAAGAAAGTTTATACCTTAATTGTTTACCTAAACAAAAATTTAATTATTTTTAAAGTATAAAACATCTGAATGTCATCTAAACTGTTTCTGACATACAATAGTAACTTAATAAATACATCTTTAATACATTTTAAATATCAGTTTAAATTTTCAATGCATATGTTCAAAATTTGTTTTATATGTTAATAAAATGCAAAAAAATTATAAAGGATTAGAAAACGTTTTATTATTGGATAGAAAATTTGAAAAGCTAAACTTAAACAATAATGAAATATTATTGAGGAATAGTAAGCAACAATTTGTATAAAATATTTATTTACAACAAAGGCACAGTTAGAAATATTAGAAAGCAAACAACAAATGGAAAACTACCACAAATATTCTTCAAATGTTAGTGTTAATGAAAAATTGATTACAGACCAATAGAGAAAATAACAAACTTTGAAGAAGAAAACAGATATAAGCACACAATTTATAAAATAGAAATAGACTGCATCAAACATATAAAAATTTATTTTACTTTGTTTGAAATATACTTCAAGTCAAAAATAAATGCAAATATTATTTACACTCATCAAATCAGCTGTGGTGATTTTATATGACTAGTAACAAAAGATTTACTAATAGGATTATAATTTGGTTTTATTTATGCAAAGAAATTTAGCAAAATATATTAATATCCTTGAATATATTTATCTAATTTATTCCAAAATTCTATTTTTTAAAAGTTGTCCATACAGATTTATATGTAAAAATGTATTTATAAGGAAAAATTAAAAATCATAACACAAACTAATAGTAATAGTACTTGGTTTGAGAAAGGCAGTATTATTGTGTGTTGAATGACAGTATGGAAACTAGAAGGTAACTCGGCTTTACCAAGTTGAAGGAAGAAATTAGAGGAAATAAATTTATTCAAAGTTGGAAACTGTAGGGTTTTGTTTCGTTTCGTTTTGTTTTTCACTTTCACCTTCACTCCTGTTGACTTGGAAAGGGCAACTGGAGGAGATTATTTTCCAGAGTGATTTGGGCAACAGAGATAGAGGGGCCCGAGAATGAAAGGTGTGTCACTGTGAACACGGAGAACAGCTGGGAGAAGGTGGGAGAAGATAGGAGATTAAATGGTAAGGTGTGTGTTGAAACAGTTCAACTAAGAAGTGTCAATCACAGAGACATTTAAATTTACGTTTAACCAAGTACCTTCTTACTCATAACTGTATAATAATCCCTACAAACATTGTGAAATTCCAGTTTTCTTAAAAGCGAGGAAAGAAAAGCAAGCAAGTGGGAGAGAGGGAATGAAGAAAGGGAGGGAGGTGGGAGGGAGGGAGGGAGGGAGGGAGGGAAGTGAGAGAGGGAGGGAGGGAGGGAGGGAAAGGAAGGGAAAGGGAAGGAAAGAAAAGGAAAAAGGCTGTTGATAATTTGATCTCTTACAACACTGCAAATGTTTCCTTCAGCTCCCAGATTTTACCCCAATGTTTTA